GAGTCTTCTTGCCTGCACCTGATGGACCGTACACCAACAAGTGTGGGAAGTCACCACCCTGAACCTGAAACATTAACACAAAATTTGTAGTTTTTCTTTCTTTTTTCCTTGTGTTTGAAGTTGTTTTTTTTTTTGTTTTTTTAAAGAATCAGACATTATATCTTTGCTTTTAAATATTACCAACATTGCGTTATGTTGCCAATGAGAGCAACACTGCTCTGCATGCAAAGAAAATGTGACAACTGTTATTAAACTTTACTTTTCATTATCTACAGTATATTATATACCTTTTTATATTACTTTTTCTTAGCTGTTCTTGTTCAGGAGTTTACGTCAACTCATGAATTATCAAGGTCATGTCATGGTTATTTTGGGATTTTGTTTCTCCAGCATAAAAAAAAAAGTTGTGCAGTATACATCTTAAATGACCAAAACACAAGACAACAACCCAAAAAACAGGAATTGGGTGAAGAAGTTTAAATTTATTTTATTGATGGTGCTGAAGGTTAACTTCAGGCCTATTAACTTCTCATTAGTTATCACGGTCGACTACAACTGGTAGTTTCTCTTTGCCAGCATAGAAAGGATTTGTTTGACAGCACTCATTGGACTGACCAATACTCAGAACAATGTAAAATGCCAAAGTCAGTAATTTAAGATCTGCCAGTGGTAGCGGTACACTGCACAGAGTGGATGGAATAATGGAGAAGGGACTTGGACAAAATTGGGTGCTGTAACAGGACAATCATCCTAAAAATAAACCAAAGCTGGTTTGGAAAAGCAGGCTAAACTACTAAAAGCTCCTGGCTAAACTCAACCCTTTTGTGGACTATGCTTAAAAGCCGGGTCCGTGCTAGAAATCAACCAATTTAAATGAACTCTTCAAAGATGAGAGAAAATCTAAAATAAATTCAAACTTGTGCAACCAATTATTTTTAAAGTCATAAAAGATATGCACCATGCAATCATTCCAACTTGGAAGAACAATAGTTTGGATGGATGGAATGATTAAAAGCTCAACATTACCATTACACTCATGACCAAGACGTCAGTGGATTAAATTTTCTCACCAAAACTGTATGTTTAAAAACACCATTTTCAAGCATTCACATGAATGGAATAAGAAACACAAAAAGTATGAATAGTACCTCCTAAACGATGAACATATGTGAACAAGCACTTCAAAAACACAAGCTGTGTGTGCACAATACTCTGTCTGGGAAAGGATGGTGTGTGATGTGTATACAGAAAGTGTGAGAGGATGAGATCATCTTTAAGCGGATGTAAAATGGCATTTGCTCCATCAGATATAGGGATCTATTTTCCCTCTTGGTCAACACTGTGAGGTTCTGGCTCCATTATAGTGTCAAAGTTGAACAAGTTGCACATAGCTAGTAACGTCCACGATAGCATGAACGGGGTTGTTTTACAAGCTGTACACAAAAACCTCTTAACCAGCTCAGTAAATCCCCCCACAATTGTCTTGCAAAGCTAAACTTGTCGATCATGCCAGCTCACATGCAGCATTATTTACGACGCTACCGCCAATCTGAATAAACAGCCATCATGGAGGAGCTTATTTCTCTTACCAGGTTTTTGAGCTGAGCCGCCTGCTCTTTATGAAAGTCCAGTTTCCCGAGGGACGACGGACGATATTTGTCCACCCACAAACTCATTCTGCTATGGATTCAGTAAAACGTTACAGTCGTCCGTGTTGACAGCAGACACACTCTCCGCTTGCTAATCTCCCGCGAAATGTTATTCACACAGCAACCCGCGCGACTGGTTCCTGCTCGGCTACGGAGAGACGGAGAGGACAAATCTGCTACAGGCGCGCAGGTAAACCGGAATTTTCATTGCGCAAAAAAACAAAACAAAAACAAAACAGATATTTTTTTTATATAGGACTCAGTAAAATAACGTAACTCAGTAATTCAATAATCTGTGAATGCGCTAAAATGTGATTTTTTTTATTCCCTCCACATTCTAAAATAACTTTATCTGTGATTTATTTAGCTTTTTAGCTACTACTATTGAGAGTTCTGTGGAGTCACACATTCGCAGTCAGCACAATTGTCTTTAAACCTGTGTATAATTCCTCTAAACAGGCGATACCAAATGACCTTTGCTTGTGCCACTCATGCGTGACATCTCTCGTGTCCAGGTGCAAACGGACATTCATGTCATCGTCTTTACAGCAGATGAGGAGACATGCCTTACTGGGTGGAAGCGATATGAAGGATTTGTTCATGGAAAACAGACTAATATCACAGAGGAATGTGAGACAGTTAATCCCATGCTGCAAAAACAAAGCTGTCATTTGACAATGAAAAGGTATGAGTGCGTAGTTTTTAGTTTTGGGGATTTTTTTCTAGAGGAGCTGACCTTACTGTACAATTATTTGCGTTTTCTATCTCTGTGATCATTATTTGGTCAGAGCACCTTTTTCTTTAACCCACGACTCTGGTTTTGCATCATTCATAAAAGTGAAAAAGTAAAAAAAGAAAAGAAAGAAAAGCAGAAGAAAATATGCACTATATATACTTTAGTAGGCAAGCATTGCACTGGGTTTGGATCCCTTTTGCTTTCAGAACTGTCTTGTTCTTTGTGATATGGGTCCATATGTTAACATTGGTAACATATCAGAGATGCCTCTGGAGGTCATTTGAGTACAGACAGTTTTTTTTAATGCTCAAGAAACCAGTTTGAGATGATTTGAGCTTTGTGACATGGTGTGTTATCCAGCTGGAAGCAGCCATCAGAAGATACATATGCTATGATCATAAAGGGATGGACATGATCAGTAGTCTGTAGCATTTAAACCATGCTCAGCTGGTACTAAGGGACCTAAAGTGTGCCAAGAAAATACCCTTGACACCATTACACCACCAGCAGCAGCAGCAGCAGCCTGAGCTGCTTATACAAGGCAGGGTGGATCCATGGTTTCATGTTATTTACACCAAAATCTGACCCTACTAGCAAAAATCAAAACTTATGAGACACCAGGTGACAGTTTTCCAAACTTTTGTCCAATTTTGATGAACCTGTGTTAAAATTAACCTCAGTTTCATGTTCTTAGCTGCTGCTGTAGCTTCAGGATTTGTCTTGTTATGTATTCAGAAATGCTACTCCACACAGCTTGATTCTAATGATTTTATTGAGTACTGTTACCCTCCTATCAGTTCAATGCAGTCTAGCCTTTTCACCCTGAGAACTGCTGCTCACCAGATGTTTTTGCTTTTTCAGGGCATTTGTTTTTATGAATGCTAGAGATGGTTGTTTGGGAAAATCCCCATAGATCAGCATTTTCTTAAATACTCAGAGCAGCCTGTCTGTCAAAATCACCTCTCTTCCCCATTTTGATGCTCAGTTTGACCTCCAGCAGGTCGTCTGGACCATGTTTACTCAGTGAGCTGCTACCATGTGACTGGCCGATATAAATGAACAATAAATGCATGCTTTGAGTGTACGCTCAGGCTCACATCCACAGAACAGAAGCGTGTTTCTCTATGAGTCATTATATTTCCCTCCTTTATCAGAAGAACAGGTTCAGAATTTTAATACCTTGTTTTCTGCAACAACAGAGTTCAAAAGGTCGTTTTTCTTCTCTGATCTGACTGAATGTTTGCTGTCAAAATGAGGATTTATTCTCTTTTGCGTTTCAAACAGTATATACATTCAACACTGTCAAGATAAAGCAGTTATTTCTTTCTGCAGCTACTCCTCATAAATGTTTGGTGTGACCCCTCCGTGGAATTGATTTGTACACTTAAAATACCAGAAACATGTTTCTTTTCCTCTAAACATTCAAACTTTACCCATGAAACATGACCTTGATGTCTGTTTTTCTCCATTTTGTTTTTATTCTTTTCTTTTTACTCTGCTCAACCTGATCCAGGCGACTATACCTTTTTTTTCACAGGAATGCTACACGAAGCGTGTCTCAGCAGGTTAGCGTAGCTTGTATTGAAATACGTGCATGTTTTATTAATAGACTGGAGATAAATCATCACAGCACAGTGGAGCTGTGAAACATCTGGGGAAGGTTTATCAAGATCCTTCAAACAGGATCGCTCTCATGAATGTGAAGTCCTTCAAAACAGTAAAACATTGATTGCGATCGTCACAATTTAAAGTAAATGTTAATCTCAACATTTAAATAAGTCACGATGTTCCTGATGAACCAAAGATTTGGATGTGAAACTTTGAAGTTATTCTGATTAGGATTTTATTACATTGCTGATGCCTAATGTATCGTCTTAAGTAATTAAGTAATACCCTGAGAAGTTGATGTCACAGTAAGCAAAGAGACTTCTACAGTCTTCCCCCTTGTCCGGACCTCTTCTCCCAAAAAACGGGCCTCAACAGGCGGGATCATTTTCAAGGTTAACATACAAATAGCAGAGCTTCACCCCAGACCACAGAGGTTCCCTCCAAAATGGGAAAATCAGTGTTTTCAAACAATCCTGAAAACTTTTCAGTCCATCCACTTCTCTGTAAATATCACAGGTCTTTCAGTTGTTGATGAAAGCGCACAGGCTGTTAGAAATAGTCTGGAAGGCGAGATATTTACAGAAGATAAGAAGAGTTTGAAGCATTACCTCATGTGCTGTTGAGGAATCTGCTTCTGAGGTGAAAAATCTTTTGCTCTGGGCCATATTGTATAGCAATGAGTGAACAGAGGAGGGAGGGAGTCTGGTTTGTCTTCGTGCAGATATTTAATCTGCTCGATCGACCAACAAAAAGATTTGATTTCCTTTGTCTGGAGTGAATCATTTACCCTTTTATTCTTTTTTTTGCCTTGCATAAACTTTTATTCACATGAAAAATAATAAATAACAGCCGGACTTCAGACAGGCACGCTTACACAAATAATCTAAACACCTGCCCGTGGAGCTCTCTATGTGTTCTCGGTGAGGTAATGTAGGAGGGAAAAGCATTCCTCAGCCCTTCTTTCACTCTCCTCCCCTCTCAGCATTTCACGTCTTTCCCCACATAAACTCAGTCGGTTTCACGCTGTATAAACGCACAGGTCACTTTGTTAGATCTGCTACCCCCTGATCTTCAGCCTGCTCTGAGGGAAGACTTCCTGGGTGACACAACCTTTGTGCTAAAATGTCTGGTATGTTGTAAATATGAGTCTGTGTTTATTTACAATGCAGCGTGCTCTCATTTATGTGTGTGCGTTTTTTAAGAAGTAGGTCAGAATCCCAAATTCTCTCATATTCTGTCAGTTAGAGAGGACTGAAATGATGTTGATGATGTTTCACATCTCAGCTAACATGTGGGAAATAGTGACATATGCGACATTGCTGTATTAATCCTCTATGTTGGAAAGGATTTTTGCATGTAAATACTCTCTGTGCTCTACAGTGAATAAGTATTTCTATTTAATTTGAGGGTTAAACATGAGTGTGTCTGTGTGTGTGTGTGTCTGAAAGGCAACGAAAACATTGAGAACCAGGGTAGGAAAGGGTGTGTTGGCTCCAGACAAAAATAGCTATGTTGCAGGAAAAAACAATGCGTTTGAGAAAAATGCGAGAAAAGAAAAATAATGAAAATGTCAGAGTTACAGAGGAATCAGCCAACAATCACATTCATGATGTGACTGATATGAGTCACATAATTTCACTAAAAATGGAAAAATATTTTTCTACATATTAAAGTAATCTTGTAAAAGCACACTGCCGCTGAGCTATTTTAATTCATTTTAAGTGTCCTGTATGCAGTGTTGAATCGACAGCAGATTTTAATGGAGCACTAACCTCTGCTCGTTACCCCGAGAGTTATTCATTAAAACAAAACTAATGAATTCACAGAATGGGCCTCTGAAAACTGTCCAAGCAGCAGTTTCATGAGCGCTTCACGTAAGTTCCTCTACATCCATTTACAAAACAAATAGCTCTCTGTTACACATTCATATATATTTTTCGTCCCGTGTACATGTGAACATCGATCAGTTTACCCAAATATGTACACTCTGTTTCACCTGAGGAACACTGGAGGAGCTTTATCTTTGTAGGAGAATGATTTATACTCAAATCATGTGTTTTTTTAATCTATCTGCATGTGGCGATGCGGTGGTTAGTACTGTTGCCTTAAAGAAAGAGGGCTCCTGGTTTGACCCTGCTGGCTCATGAAATAATTGGCAGAAAATTCAAATGTTTTGACAACTGAGTGCTTATTGAACCGTCTGACAGTTAAAAAATATTGATTAATTTGCATATATGAGTATGAATTTGTATATTATGTGCTACATCCTGCATGTTTTGCAATTTATGTATAAAGGGGTTATTGAATGGATGGATTTTTAAATGTATTCTTGATTAACCGATTTCTGTTTTTCTTTCCTCTTCTCTGTAACTCAGGCATCAAAGAACTTTGGGCCATTTAAATTTGGTCCAAACTGTAAATATCATCCATGCGTACTTTCAGTTTATCAGCTGCAGCTGGTCCAGTTCAGCTCCTTACAGATGGTTCAGTAGAGATGTATGAAGGTCCATCAGCTGCATTGCCTGTGCTGGAATAGTCAAACAGGCATACTTACCATCAGGTTGTCGATCTTCTGTTGGGTGACCTTCAAGGTCGAGCTACTTTCCTGCCTCAAGCCTCCATCGGCCATCTAAGAAGCATGTCTGAGTCTGTTCCTTTGCTGCTTTGTGCTCTGGATCCTGTAACCAGTCATACCACAAAATGGAACGAGCTGAAAATGGACAAGAGCTCCCTGCATGATGCTCCTGTGTCTGATTTCAGGCAGAATGGACATTGTGAATGCAGACAGAGTTCAGACATGTCTCCTGGAGCAGGTCAGGACATGGAGGTGTCATCCCTGGATCGCAGAGCAGCTGTTCATAGTGATTCTCAGATGGAGGCAGAGAATGTAAAAGACTGTGGAGCTAAAATACCTCAGCAGAAAGACGAGAGCCCTGCAGAGACCCCAACAGTCCTGGACAAATGTTGTCATAAACGTCTGCCTGCATCTATGAATACACCAGAGGACGTGCTAAGAGTAGTAAAACACCACCCAAGCGCCATTGTGTTCTGTGATTACGACTGTGGGACTGGCAATCAGGTCATCAACGAGAGCTCTGATGGCGGAGAGTCATCGTCATCCACTTCTAAAGAGGCGGAGGGCGAAGACGGTGATGATGATGACTTTCCTGCAACGTTACAATATAAGGAATTCCTGGTCAGCCGTCGTCGTAGAAACTTTAGCAGGAACAGGAAGTGCTTAAGGAGGAGACAGGATGCCCAGCCTAACAGCACACCATTTGACTGGCAAAAACTCAACAAGGGCAAACCTGGGTTCACAGGTAGCCAGGAGGAGGAGGACACATGGGAGAAGAATGGAAAACAGGTAAGGAAAATAAGAGGGGGGCTTGGGCAATAATAAAAAACAAAGAAGTCTTGTTCACTTAGTAGAACAGCCAGAGAAAGCACTTGAAAAGCCTTTATCCTGTGTTAAATTGCCCTGCGGAAAGCCTGATCCTTTTTCCACAGCAGAGAGGGATCCGGTCATAGCAGGAAAAGCACAAGTTTTACTCGTGAAATTAACAACTGCTCCATTCAAGTATTCAAGTGAGCCAAGGCAGCCTGGACTGTATCGCCAATTTTAGCCACAATTAATCTTATTATGTCGCCCCTCTAGTTTCCTAAAGAGACCTGCCAGAATGCCTGCAGCTAAAATCTTTTTTTGCAACTGTGATCCCTACAGGCGCCACCAGAGGGCAGCAACGTCAAAACATTTCGAACTTGATTTCATTTGAGGGCCAGGAGTGAATTTCCTAAATACTTTCATATCATCTTTGAGGAAAATATTCATTGCATTCGTGTGCTGCGTGCACAGCAAGTTGTCATGTGCTGATCCAGTGCTGTATTTAGGCTATAGATGCAGGGCAGCAGGGGGTCTGCACAATGTATTTGAATTTTTTAAAGTAGCCTGTTTTGTTCTTTCTTTTTATTAAATGCATAAAACTTAAAAAAAAAAGCTTCCATTTTTGTGTGCTACTAAATCTTTGCATTATTTTTTCAATTCAATTTAAAAAGAGAGAGTCTAAGTAAATAGGAATCTTTCAGCAGGTTCCCCCCTGTTAGAAATTCCTCCCATATTTCCCTTGGCCTGGCCTGGCCTGGTCTGGCCCAGCATCTCCAATCCTCCCAGCATGCAACACACCAGCAGGCTTCCCGTAGTGTGACAGTGCCCCTGACTGTGTTCTCACACCTGTCAGAGCAGCCCTCAGCTGCTGGCACGTTTCCACAACAGTCCTCTGGTTTGCTGTACGCAGCTTTCCCGCCTTGGCCTGAAATAAAAGGATTATGACCAAGTAGCTTTTCAAGTTACTTATTGACAGACTGAGGCCGGGGCTCATTTGAATACCTGTTTAATTGAAGGGAACCCCACTGCTGTTTCACACATTCCTGGAATATTTTGGCCTGAGCAGTTTGGACACATCCCCCGAATGTGGACGACATTTTTGCCAAATTAAATGTTTAAAAGCAAGTAATTAAACTTTGCTTGGAATAAAATGTGTCTTGCAGGCTTGGTGATAATTATTCTGCCTTATTAATAGCTCAGATGTGAAGGTGTATTAATCGTTGCCACAGATTTGTCGTTAGTCTCTGGCAGCCTGCTGTCATGCCCCGAAACTTGAGAAAAATAAATCTGTGTTTTTACAGATAATGATATGACTTCACTTTCTTGAATTTGTGTCTGTGTGAGTATTATTTCGCCTGAGATAACCCTTAATATCTGTAGTTTTCTGAATTTGGATGAATATTGTAGAATTACTTTGCACCTCTACTACCAGTGCTTACAAATGTCAAAGTACACCTAATACTTAAGAAAGCAAAAGCATTATTGGAGACTTCCCATCTCTAATTCAAGTTACAATCTGGTTAATTGTGTTTGGGATAACGAAAGAAGATGAAGTACTATAAGGGAATTACAGTTAGGCCAGCTAGTACTTTACCCTTTGTCTGGGCTGACATTTAGACCAAGTCTAGATACCCTTTAAAGAGTATTGGACAAGACTTAAGCCATGTTTTTATTAGGTTCACTTACAAGATAATATTCAGCTGCGTGAAGTAAAAAGAGAAAATAGTATTTGCTATTTGATTTCATTTATTAAGGGGAAAAAGCTACCCAAAGCTATCTGGCCATTTTGTAAAAAAGTAGTTACTGTTTGTGTCATTTTTGGCATCAAGAGCTGAAATGTTAAAACTGTTTGTCATAAGTGGAAATGAGTCTTTCACATCACTGTGGGGGAATTTTAACCCACTCTTCTTTGCAGAATTGTTTTATTTCATCCACATTAGAGGGTTTTCCAGCGTGAATGACCAGTTTAAGCTCATAGCAAAGCACCTCAACTAACATGACTCCAGACCTGTATGAGGCCACCCCATAAACATTCATTTTAGATTTTTTTTTGAGCCATTCAGATGTGGACTTGCTGGTGTGTTTTGGATTATTGTCCTGCTTCAGAACTGGAGTGTGCTTCAGCTTGAAGACACAAACTAATGCTCTCTACTAATGTTAGAGAGGAGAATTCATGGATCCAACAATTGCAGGAAGTCTTCCATGTCCAGCAAAGCAGCCCCAGACCATCACACTACATTACCATGTTGGACTGCTGGTGTGATGCTGTGTTAGTTTATGCAGATGTCACAGGACACAAACCCTCCAAAAGTTTGAGGTTTGTCTCATCAGTCCACAGAATATTTTCTCAAAAGTCTTGGGGATCATTGAGATGTTTTTTGGCAAATGTGAAATGAGTCTTCTAACCAGCCCCAGTCTTTTGACTTGTGTCTATGTTGACATTCAACATTATTGTTGAATCGTGAACTCTGACTTTAACTGAGGCAAGTGAGGCCTGCAGTTCTTTAAATCTTCTTCTGGGTTCTCTCACGACTTCCTGGATGAGTCGCCAGTGCCCTGTAGGAGTAATTTTGGCAGGTCGGCCACTCCTGGGAAGGTGTTCCAAGTTTCCTCCATTTGTGGTTAATGGCTCACTGTGATTGAGTGGATACCCAAAGCCTTTGAAGTGTCTCTGTAACCCATATCAAACTGACAGATGTCGACTTTGTTTCTCAGCTGTTTCTTTAGATTGTGGCATGATGTGTTGATTTTTCTTTATCTGTTAGTCTACCTCACATTGTCAGACGGGGTCTATTTAAGTGGTTCCTTGATTCAGCAGGTCTGGAAGTAATCGGGATTTCTACTGAAATCGAACTCAGCTTGCCAAAAAAATGTGGTTAATCAGAGTTAAATTATGATTTAACAAGAGGGCGCAAGGGCGTGATAACCCTTAATAAATTAAATCATCATTTTGTATTTCCTTGGGTTACTTTGTCTGATATAAAAATTTGTTTGATGATCTAAAACATGTAAGTACAACAGGCAAACAGACTGTATATGAAAGTATTTATCAATGATAAAGCTGCAGGAAAAAAACTATATCAAAATAACAGGCATCTTAGCCTCTCCATATAATGAAAAGGTCTTTTAGCAAATATGTCAGGATGCATTAAAAGCTCTATCTTAAGTATATTAACATTTCATGAGCTTTGAGAGCACTCTGTCTGTGCTTGTGTATGCTATGGTGTGCATTTGTGTTCGTGTTGGCACATTTACATTCACATGCTTGTGTCTGCAGTCACTCGTGCCATTGAAAAGCCTCCACTAGATGTGTTCTCCCGTCACTCTGTCACTCTGCAACCCACAGTGAGGGTAAAAATAGCACCCCGGTGATAGAAACCCTTCTGTGTTCCCGTGTGTGGAATCTGGAGATGTGGGGGCCGTAACGTGCAGGAAATGACTTTGCTGCCAAAGCCCTTATTGCTGATATTTTTCAAACTGGTCAACATGATGGCTTTGGGAAAGGGAGTGGACAGAAGGGTGTGTTTGTGTCCGTAAGTGGGTGGGTGAGCGCATGCTTGTGTATAGCTATGCATGTGTGTGTGTGAGTGAGGGGGCTGTTTTTGGATTTCAAGCTCCTCAAAGGGGCCCTATGTGCTACTATCAGCCTCTGGGACTCTGGGGTTGGCAGCAGAGCCCCGAAACAAAGCAGTTTGTTCATTTTCTGGAAGGCGAGTGAACAAGTGTCTCAGTCAGAGCCCGTGACCAATGGGTGTAGAAGGAAAGCGAGGGAAATTGAGGATGTAGTGCATGACTATTGGTCTGGAGAGATACTACACATTTACATAACATGCAGTGCTGCTGTGATATGAAGCAAAGCTTACTCCTTACAGGCGACAGTCTTTGACATTGACTTGACAAAAATGTATCTGCTCTACAAAAATCACACTGAGACATGATTAGACTGCAAAGTCTACCCTTAGTTAGGCTGAAAAAGCCCAATGTTCATCTCTAAGGAGCCCTATAGGGAGTGAAAGGTGGAGTAGAAGAATGAGGAAGAGGAGTATATGGTTTTAGGTTCAGCATACACAAAAGGCGTAGTGTAAGATTATCCCCAGAGCTTGCCCTTGAGAAATATTTTCCTGCATTTGTTTTTTTTGGTTTTTTTACTTATACGTTCAGGCTTCTGCGTGTGACTCCATGACCCTGCTGATGAAAAAGTTGGACCACCTCAATGAGGGCATCCAAGAAGTCCAAGGCGCAATTTCCTCCTACTCAAACGAGGCCAGTGCTGATGAGGAGCAGCAGAGCACCACAGTGAGTCAAGTACAAGTAATGTTATGTTTATTCACATCAGGCTCTCAGAATGCTTTGAATGAATGAAGATTATACGTGGTGATTAAAAAGAAACTCACAGACTTAAAGCTGAAGGAACATAAAGGTGAAGTGAAACATTTCTTAATACACATTCACATGTAGCAAGTACGCTGTGCATTGCTTAGAGAAACTTAGACAGTGAGGCTTGTAAAATGTAGAAATTCACTGATTTACGCAGGTTTTTTATGCACGCATTCAAGTTGAGATTGCAACTGAATGCATTCTGCTGATGAAGAGAAGACATTAAACCTGGAGAGATTCTCTGTTCGGGAGGTATTAAATGAGGGAATTTATCAATATTAAAACTACAGCATATGCAAAAGTCATGAGTCACCCCTCATTTCTATATGTTTTGCTTTGAAAATGGGAAACAGGTGATTTATTAAAAAGTGTGCATAGAAAAACAGAAATACAGTATATAAGGATAACTGTACAATTCTAACAAGTTTGAGAGTCAGTGTTTGTATGAACCATTATCCCTCAGTATAGGAAGACGTCTCTCAGGCAGCTTTCCTGTAATTTATTGCTTGTGTCTTCACGGATAGTTCTCCAGGATTCCTGAAGGGCATTCAAAGCTCTTTTCTGGATATTGGCTGCCTTTTTTTCTGTGGTATTTATTTATGGTGAGCCATTAAAGTCTGAATGTTCCCGTGAGCCTAATTCCATCAATTTTTATCTCCAACACTACTGACTGAATTGCAGCCTGAGCCTCAGATGTCTGTAGACACTCACTGTTGTACATCTCTCCTGATCTTCATATGCATTATACATACAGTACATACTGGACATAACACATATTAAACATGCATGAAGTCAACAATTTGAGTCAAAATTCCACATTTGGGTTTATCACTACATATGACCGTAACATAATAGTGTGTTTTTGCAACAGGCTGCTAGTAATAGAGCGCCAGAAGATAAAATTTAAACTGAGTTTGGCGCTTTTTTTTTTTTACACTCGAATCAGTCACAGGTCATTGTTAAGTGGCTTAACAAACATTCAAGTATAAGAACTGAACTGAAAATGAGCAAAAAAAAAGGAAACGCAAGACCTTCAGAAAACCTGGAGCACTATTGCTCAAGACAAATGATATGATGATAAAGACATCCTGCAGGGAAAAATATAAAGAAATGACTTGTGGTTAAAGACTTTTTTGCACAATACTGTGGTATTCAGTGCAGTCACCAAGTCAAGAGGAAAGAGAAGTTTTAACACCACAGTTGTTAGTTTTTGTAGCACAGTTTGTGCAGCGTGGTGACGGAGGCATCTTGTCTTGTTTTGGTTTCCTCCTCACAGACTGAACACATGTATGTGTTTACCAGTGATTTTTAATTATAAATGGATGAGTGTGAAGGCCATGAACGGTTATATCTCTCTCTCAGCCCTTTGTTGGACTGCCAATATCATCCAGGTTGGAAACTGCCTCTCACTCAAAGTCAGCGGGTAAATCAATGATAAAACTCAGTAATGACCACTCAAGGCAAATTTGTTGTATCAGATAAGCTGATTTTTTTTCACTGGTTGATTTGCTGCACAAAGTTTGAATTCTAAGTGAAATATTAAATTGAGTATTGTGTGGGCCACTGCTTTGGTTATAGCAAAAATGATTGCTTTTTAAACAAAGCTTTAGCAACATTTTACTGACTGCGTATATTCATCATCAACACAGAATGTACCATTCACACATGTTAGACAGGCCTCAGTTTTCTATCTCCTCCCCCCTGTTAAGCTACCCACCTTTCATTTAACAAGGCAGCATAGCTAAGAATATTAGTTTGGATGTTCTCCAAGCCTGTTGTTTTTCCATCATTAAGGCATTTCACAAATCAAACAGATCTTGACTCATTTGGCATCCACCTGGATAAAGCGCCGTGTCTCCAGAAAGCAGATTACAGGAGCTGAGCTCGTCATTTCGGCTCGCTGTTATTTTACAGGTGTATTTAACATAGTTTTTGGAAGAGGAACACGGTCTGCGGATGGCTCCTGCGCTGTGCTGCTCTGCTCTCACACAGCATTCCAGCTGCCTCATTACGCTTACCAAGTGTAAATCTGGTAACCTCAAAAGCTCTTTAACCAGCAGCACAGAACTTCAGGAATGTAATAAAATGGTGGTATTTAATCGTGCTAATCTCATCCAAACTGTCTGGAAACAGCAATAAAGCGCGTTTACAGTATCTCTCCGTTTTTAGCTTTATGTGCCACATTCTCTGTGGAGCACTTAAACACACTTTTATTTTCAGTGACAGCAGCATTTTAAATACAAGTGGTGAGTTTAGCCGTCTTATGGTGGAAGAAGCACAGAGTCTCATTTATAGAGTCACTAAACCCAATGACTTGCAATCTATTTCTTTCTTCTTCTTTTTTTATAGCAAAAAGGTCATCCTTGTTTTGGAGTACAACAGAGGTATTTATATGAGTTAAAAATATGCAATATCCAGCTAAATATCAAAGGTTCCTGGTATATACTGCCACGTTATTCCTCTAAACAACACTCTTCATCAGTCTTGCCTTTGATTTGGCCCAAAGTTTAAGGTCATGTGCTCAATATAGAAAAACTAGTGAGTTCAGTGCTCCAAACAATATTCTCTTTCATTCTTTCCTCAGACACTATCCTGCAAACATGAAGTACCCTACATGCTGATTATACTTTCCAGAATTGCGTTAGCTCTGTCGGTGTAAAAAGTTGTTATTTGTGTCCTTGCTTTTGTCATGATAGTCATAGAATCACAGCTCACATGGGTGATGGTCCCAGTCAAGCATTTGGATCCCGACTGCAATATCTCAACTATTAAATTGATCGCTGTGACATTTTGATAGGGCGGTTAGGGATGTTGTTGGGTTCTCACATAGTCAACATGACTGAGTGACTTTCATCTAATGCAGCCATGAGGTTCATATTTATGCCTTTTAGTGAAATGAACGAATTACAGTGAATCTCAGGGCACATTTAAGTGCACCTCAGGAGGAATTGTGACAGAAACCTTCCAGTGAACTAATGTTCATGCTTCATGCTGCACTGTTCAGAGCTGCTAGAGCTGCTTTTGTGTAATGAAGAGGTGTGCACTGTGGTAATATCCTCAGTGCCCGGCTAGTTCATAGAAAGAACCGAAATATCAAAGTCAAACAAACCTTTTTACGTAAGAGTAACACAATTAAAATTAAAGATTAGTTTTGGGGACACGGTGTCCCTGATGTTTTTATGTAACTTTGACCACACAGTTATATAAAACTAGCAACAGCATCATGCCATCTCTATGATGGCAATGCTCTGCAAGGTCAGAGGGGGAATTTTCTGCACAGACAAGCCTTGTGTGCTGTAATAAAGAGAAAATGTGGCTCTCTATCCATGCACTTGTAGATGGAAATCTTGGTGGGGAAATCAGCATGCCGTTTACAGACACGAATGCCATCCCTGCTTCAGTTACACACGCTCACATTTGCACACACATCCCTGTTATCAACTCAGCGATGGACAGGAGGGAAGAGCGGGAAGCATGACGGCGTGTCTTCCCACTGCTGGGTACAGTAGTTGAGCAATCAGGTCAAGCTGGACTTTCCAGTGTTGTCACTGAGCGGAGATACTTATGGCATAAAGGGGGATTTTTCAGAATAAGAGAAGGGCAGATATATCATTACCAGTGTCTTATGTCTTTCATCACGCACCACCAACACCAGCTCCACGAAATACTCCACAGAAACCAGAGAGCTGCTGAAGAGACAGGTGACATGAGGACAGGGACTGGGGTAAGAAATTGAAGGGGACACAACTACATGGAAACTTTCTATAAAGAAAATTAGAGTTATGTTATTTAAACTGGCATTTGTCATGAGGAATTAAGATTTTGTTGTTCACCATGCCATAAAAAAATTTCAGAAATCAGGGATTACCATTGGTTATGAAACATGTTTTGACTTCATTTCTTCTGTTCTTCCTTATAGTTTTAATTCTTGATGGTCAACATGTATTTATTTTTTTTAATCGCTTATTGTCAAAATAAAATCTAAATATAATGCTAAATAAAATCATGTATGTCCTTTAAAAGCTTTGAAATCATTTTGTGTTCTGATGACGAGTGAGCTGAATTTGTTGTTGGATTTTTCTTCAGCTGCTGCTTTTAAAAGTGACACTGAACCTTCAGCTGGCTTGAAGTCTCATGCTGCTCCATCTCACTGTTTTTCTTCCCTTTGGTCCTCCCAGGGTACTGTGGCTGTAGACAGGATGGTAAGCCGAGTAAATCAGGATCAGGGAACCTCCAGATTTCCAGACAAATCTGAGCCACTGTCCAGGCGCTGCTTAAGACCTTTGACCCGCAGCAGACCACTGACGCGCTCGTCCCTCTCATCCCCTATACACCTGCAGGCCCGCCGGGCTAGGGTGAGTTAGGCTGAGTTTCTATGTGTGTGAGTTTGTGAGGTGAGAGTGACACATCTGCTTGTCTAACTGAATGAGTCTTTGCTGTGAAGTCAGTGGATTAAAATGAGTGCAGTGCTCCTGATAATCATTAATACTGTAGACGAGGTAACAGGAAGGTGTTTGGATATGAGCTGCAGTCAAAAAGCTGCAGTCTTCAACATGAAAAAGCCCTTTTTGCTCAGTTTGATTACAGATTAATACATTACATCCTCAGACACAAGGTGATAAGATGTCTCACTTTGATTAAATTAATGCAAACCTAGAATCTTTCCAGCAGTTACTCCTGAGTTACTTTTTTGATAAACACACAAAAGATGATCCTGTAGACCGGCTCTGCAGATATATAGTCTGTCTGATTCAGCTGAGGTCAGTTATTTCGGGAAATGTTTTCAATTTGTAACACCAACTGAGTAAAACCTTTAGGCTGCGATGTGTAATTGTGATCAATCTTTGCACTTCCTGTTGTATTTTATGTCTAATATTGGGAATTTCTAGGCAGCGCTTTTAAGGAATGCGTCTGCTTGTTTATTGTTTTGACTACTAGTCAGGATTTATCCCCTGCCTTTTTCTGGGCCTCTGTCTAGTCTGCATTACCCCTGCTGTTGTGTAAATAAGGCGAAAGTCAAATTAGGAGACAGCTCCGCTCCATCCGGCAGTATGCAAGGTCACTGTTTTCTCTGTCAGCACTGCAGCAGCAACACAAACTATCACAAATACACCACTGCTCATCCACCAATGAGTGGAGGCCAGAAATAAGGAAAGGGGGAGTTATAGTCCACAAGCTCCCCATACATTTTTGTTATTGAAATATAGTTTTTTTAACGAATGATGTGTGCAGTCCTTTTAAAAAGTCTTGAGGCTCTCCATGTTTCTTTATATTTTGCTTCCAAGGAGACAGACTTTCTTGTAGTTTTTTAAAGAGGACTTGATAAATTGTTTTCCAGTCTTACTGAAGGGCTTTCAAAGGTTTTCTTTGGATGTTTTTCACTGATTTTCAGTCCAGTCTATCTGCCTGAGCATGTTCAGAGGAATGATACGAACCGTTCATATAAATAAGGCTTCTAACTCAGGAGAAGAGCCAGTGTTGTGTCTCTTTACAACTCAGCAAACAAGCTATTTGAAATTATATGTTTAGGTGCTTTGTTACTAGCAGACTGTTTCAAAAACGTAACGTAAAATAGTATTTTGTTATCAACAAGGTGAATCCCAAACAGACATTAGCTGAAAACCTACTGTATCCTAGCATGGAGTTCAACGTGATTTTTAAAATAACTGTGAAACTGGACAGAAAAAAATCTATCAAATACCTGATGCAGGACTTAAGAGATGCATCCAGCCCTGATACAACTCTTTGGTCTGTATGCGGGTCAATTTTTAGTTGTGTATATGTTTGTCTGCACATATGTTTGTGGGGACCAAAAATTGGAATGTTAATATACTTGTGGGGACCAACAGTCCCTTATGGGGACAAAATGCCCATCCCCACGAGTTCGAAGCCATTTTTGAGGCTCAAAATGTGGTTTTAGTGTTTAGTGTTTTAATGGGTTACAGTTAGGTTATGGTTACGTTTAGGCATTTTTGATGGTTAGGGTTAAAGTTTGTGTGTGTGTTTGGATGGAGGTAGAGGGAGCTCTAGGGACCATGGGATCAAACTGATGCAGAGGCGTGGATTTATTTTCTTCTAACCATGACTGATAAAGCACAGCTGTCTAAACTTTCTCTCTTTCTTTCTCACACAGACACGAACACACACACACACACACACACACACACACACAAGCACGAGAGAGATCAAGATCAGATCAAAGGCACATTTGCATCAAAGCTATTTGTAAAAGCTTTTCTGAAAATAAGCTGATCCACCCTTCCTTTGTTCACTTCTCAGCTGTGAACTTTAAAACAGCAACATTCAGATAAAAAGCTTGTAGGAGCTGATTGAGGGGCTGCTATACACTACTGTTTCAGCACCGAGCATGAAACATTAAACAAAAATCTACTGCTACTCTCACCTTCTGACTTTGTGGATCAATTAGAATGTTTTTACATTATTACATATATAGCAGACATTGCTGACAATCATCTATCATATGATTGTCAGCAAACAAGACTGTTTTGTTAAAATGAGCATTGAAGTGCTTTTATTTTGAAAGCATAACTGACCATTTAGACAATATAAATAACTGCTTTCATGTGAAACTTCACTTTTACTATGCATCTGTCCTTTTTAATTGTGAACTGACAGTAGAGATAACGATTTGAGTAATACACAGTTTGACCTCAGGAAAACCCAGGATGATCACACTGAAGTTCAGTGAATCTCAGCTTTTTTGCATGGATGTGGGGGTTTTCCATTCGTTGCACACTGTCTGTGTCAGGATGAAGTTTCCCACACAGATGAAATTGGACTCTTGGGATCCCAAATCTTTCAGTTTATCAATTTTCGTGAACAAGGATGCTAACTGCATGTGTAATGCTCATCTCCTCATCCGAGTCTAACCTTTTGTTCTGACTTGTGCTGTCAGAAAATCACACAGGGACTAAAATCTATCCACTGTACTCAAGTTTAATGGAATGATTTACGATGATTTAAGTAGCTTTTTCTCGGACAGCCCTCTGCCTCAATCACCAAAAGCATGTCAGCGAGTGTACCACATATCCTTCACATGTGACACTTTTTCCTTTTAATTCCCAATAAATCTTTGGTAATACTAGTAAATAAGCTGTTTGGGCTTTGTGGGTTTTCATGAGATCGTATGGCATAAACAGTCATGAAATATGTTTCTCTTATTTGAGACAGATTTGGAATTTGAGTCATATTTCCAGTGTAGCTACTGCTGCTGTACGAAAAGCGTGTATGAGGGAAACAATGAGATTACTCTGCACTGCTTTACACGGCATTTGTACTTAACTTCTATTTTTTCCTCTTCTCTTTTTCCACGCCAGGCTACTGGAAAGATGACCAGCGACTCGGCAGGTACGATACCTTTTACAACAAGAGTGTGTGTGCTTGTGTGTGTGAGTTGGCGGCTGTGTACTTTCACTGTCCTTTCTGCTGGATTGTTTGCATTCCCACTTTGGGAGAAAGCTGGCTTCTGGGAATATCTCCCTCAGGATTTCCAGCCAGTAGGTCAGCCACTCAGACGTAATGATATACTGTTTCTGCTGAAAATGCACACACACACACACACACACACACACACACGCATACACATGTATATTTAGGTGCAAAGCCATAGATAGTAAAACACACAAGCCATCTCTGCTTTGAAGCTGTGGTTTGGTGGAATTTTTTATGTGATAACAAACAGAGGTTTAACATCTCAGTCAACAAAACACACAAAAAAAGGTCTTTAATCAAAAATATATTTTCTTTTGTTTCTCTCTGGTCATCGCATTCCCACACACTGTGATACAAAGGTCTGGGTAGATGATTAATGAGCACAGCTCTGCCCCCGTCCGTATCTCTTATCCTCACAGTGTGTGTCCTTTGATTGACATGCACAGGCGTCACAGCTACTATAGTTAAGTGCAACCCAGGGAGATGTCTTGGTGACAGGGTCACATTCGCTGCACTGTGGAATTGTTTGCTTTTGTGTGTTTTGTCTGCGTGTGTGTGTACCTGTATGTACGTGTGTGTAACGCTCGGAGTGTCTCAGATGTATTGCATCCAGTCAGACGTCTGGTGTGCGCAATGAATCCTTGGAGGCCGCGGGGAGGTCAGAGGTAACGCAGTCAGAGGCGATGCTGTGAGTGGCGTGTGACGGGGATGTTTGTGTATTTATAAGTAAGGAAAATTTTATACAGACGTGGCGCGCCGAGGGAGGAGTCCAGATTAGATTTGCCAGCGGCAGCATGTGTTACAGTCATATCTCTGCTCCCATTGCTGACATTCACCCTGTGCTCTCTGACAGATAAACAGGGATTTTTTTGCATTTGCTTTAAACACAACTAATGGAAGCCATACTGCGTTCTGTGAGGGATCTCTCCTTGTTTGTTTGCAGATTATTGTAATTTTCCTCAGTGTGTATTTATTCATTGTGACAGGTTTATTGAATATCTGTGGCCGCGTATCACAGGGATTGGTATGCATTTGCAACTCATGCGTTTTTCAAGCCTGTGGAGAAAAACACCTTAATCCCTGCAAAGGTTATGCTTTCAACATGAATATGCAGTAACAGGCATTTACGCACTTTTGATCTTAAATTAATTTGCATGTGAAGGTTCCCTTCGTAGTGCCTGTGGTGTCTTACATCAGCATCGCTGAATGTTGCACTTTTCTGCACCTTAACCCACTTAGAAACTTAAAATGAGGACAACTGTGATAATTTTGTTTAACCGAAGTGTCATTTCCCAGAGTAATCTGTCAATCTACCGCGTTATTCTGATTAAAATGTTCTAATTAGGTTAGGTTAGATTAACTGGTGATTCTAAATTGTAGGTGTGAATGGTTTCTCTCTGTGTTAGTCCTGCGACAGAGTAGTGACCTCTCCAGGGTATACCCTGCCTCTCGCACTATGACAGCTGGGATAGGCTCCCCCACGACTGTAAATTGGATAAATGGAAGAGAATGGATGATGGATTCCAAACAAAGTAATGTTGCAGCAGCTAATCTCCTTAAAGCAGATAGAAAGGTGCAGACCTACTTTAGCAGTGACCTCATTCTTCCTAGTATCAATAACAGGAACTCTTATGTGTTGAAAGTCCACTTCATGAAATTACCCTTTTTGGGTTTTGCATTTTTTCAGACAGGCCACACACTGTCACTTCTCTGGCAAAGGTATTTAAGTAGAGCGCTGCTATTTTAGAGCAGCCGATAAGCTACAGATGACCTTGGTTTAAAAAATGCACACTGACACACATTCTCCCCATTTTCACTGCAGCCCAGGATTATACATAACATATAATCCATCAGTATTTTTTCATGATTGAAAGGTGCTTATGGAGGATGTGAGTAGCCTATGGCCCGCTGCCCTTTAAGTGTGTCTTTTGTCGGTCTGTGATATGTTTTAAAAATGTCTGGCTAACCTGCAGCTCCTGCTGGCTTCTGGTTCACATTTTCTGCTGATATTTAGCCCAAATGTTTAAAAAACATAATTGTAGTTATTGTTAAAGTGACAAAAATCATCCTATTTAACATAAAACATGTTTCAGTTCGACTGTAAAATTCTGCTGCTGTGTGTCTTGGATGAGTAGAAGTTTGCTCAGCAATTATGTTGCAATAAACCTTTATAACTTAATGTGATGTGCAGACCCACCCGACAGCAAACATTAAAGGTTTGTAGTCTGATGTAGGAGGTCCCTTATAAAGCTTTTGCTTGGCATGTGTGCTACAGTGTGTGTTTGTGTGTGTGTAAATATTGCTGCAATATGCAGCAGTGCTTTAACAAGTCTGGAAGTGGATTTGGCTGTAGTCCAGCTCTCTCCTGCTCTTCCCTCCTTCACCTCCCTTTTCATTTTTCTGCTGTCCTTCTGCCCTCTGCTGTCTCTGTTGAATTTCTAAACTCCCACAGTGAATTTCTTTTTTTTTGTTTTAATGTTTCAATATAAAATAAAAGACTCTCCCTCACCCTAAAAGCTCAGACTTGGAGACTTGGGCAGGATGTAGTTCAATTAACCACACAGCAAGCCATATTATTTACCAGGTAATTGCATTAAAACACTCCCAAAGGCGCGGCTACCACGCCCGTCATTGTGAGGTCCAGTTCAGGGACTTGAATTAGATGAGGTGAAGCGTAGCAGACAGCTTCCAGTTAATGACACTTGTGTTTGAACTGTATAATGCACGACTTTCAGCCTTTATATAAAAATATACTCCCTGTTGTCTTGAAGGCGATTGAATCCACCCTTCGGAGCCACGCTCAAGTGGCCACTTTAGTTTTTGGCATTTCCATGTTGCCACTTTGTCCACAGCCGCTACTCGGCAGCAATGCTATGTTCACCAGGTAGCTGGTTGCTGATGGCTCTTTGCTGCACAGCAGTTAGTGTACAGTTAGAGTAGCAAAGTTCAGAAAGATGCCTACTAATGATCAAAGGCCTGAACCCTGTACTATGAAGTGAGTTCCACATACTCAGGGTATCTTTCCATTATCTGGATTCAGTTGCATTCCTGAATTCCTAACATTGTGTTGGGTGATCAGGATAAGCAGTCACACAAAGCTCGTTATCAACTTGTTAAGTTAACCCAGGGTTTACCCTGCACATTCACATGAAAGGGTGGTCTTGGCAGCATCTGATCAATCTAAAAAAGGTATTACACGTGTCACATGACTCTTCATGTACAGAAAATGATCCCTATGAGTGCTTCCTACTGTTGCCAAAAAAACCAGAGAGGAATGCTGAAGAAAATCGTTAACCTGGTAATTAAGCACAGAGATTGGTAAAAGAAAGATTTTAATTCCAATTAATTATTTTATCACTAATTGTGCTCTCAGTTCTTCTGTTTATTTCTAAGGTCACAGCCGAAATTTTAAAGTGTCCATGTAGTGTATCCAAGTGTATCCACATTAAAGTTTGGACATTGCTTCAGTTTGTTACAGATTAACAAAAGAAATTAATTTGATTCAGTGAACAGGTATTTTTGCTGTTTAAGCATCAGAATACTTTATTAATCCCAGAAGAAATCGCAGTTGGCCCAATACAGTAAGAACAGCAGCAATCAAGTTAAAGCACTAATATTAAATAATACAATATATTCCCAAATATTGCATAATAGCTCTAATATATAAATATTCCCATATTACACAAAATTAAAATATAAAATAAAGTTAAAATTGACGTGCTCTTCTAATACTATCATACTCTTATTTTCTCTCTTTATAATACAGACCTCTGCACTACAAAGCAAGATTTTGTCTTATCCAGGTAAGTTCACAGTTAGCCCTGGGTTTTCAGTGCTACAAAGATGGTTACTTATGCTACAAAAATAATGACACAAATTCTTTTGTTTCCACAATTAACGTCAGTACGGACTTTAGAGTCTTGCAGTTAGTTTTACTTATTTAATTAAAATGTGTCCAGAAATGACAACAGAAAATGTAACAAACAGTGAGAACCATCCAAATGTTAAATACAGATGAAAGAAAATATAGACAGAAGGGTGACTGGGGCAGAGTGGAGACGTCTGGGAGACACAGTAGACACTAATCAGGGAAAACAAGAGAGGAGAAACAAAACTAAATAGAAAAGAAGAAGAAGAAACTATCAAAATAAAACTGGAAATAAGTCCTAAAACACCCACCACACATACTTGACATTAGGATTTGGGAAACACAGGGAATGTAAAATAAACTGAAAACTCTAAACCTGAGCAGACTCCAGATAGCTATGATCAAGCTAAGGCCTGCGAATTAAAAGACAGAAACCAAGACCCCAAACAGGAATAATTACTGAAAGTGCAAAACTGAAACTCAGGCACAAGAACCAGCAGCATAATATACCCCAGGGTATAGATATAAAACCAGAATTCCCCAGGAATTCTCTCAGATTCTCAGATTATTCTGTCTTACTAACAGAGCTGTGATATGTGTGATATGTGATCAGTTTTTGGCATTAGGCATTTTTACCAACTTTCTTTCCTGGCTTCAAATAGGCTAAACTTTATTAATATATCGTCTCTATCCCAATGTGACTGACCAAAGAAGATAAAGCGCACGCTTTTACATTACAACGATTCTCCTCTCAAATACTCTGTGTTTTTCTTTCTGTGTGATTAACCTCTTCACATTGGCCCATCATATCGTTTCATCCTCCTTTGGAAAGTCAGCCACTCAGTTGCCAGTACACTTACTCTTAAACATTACACTTAAGTAATTGTGATTGGTCAGATGCTGCCAACGACTCTCTGCTCATGTGAACACACAGAGGGAAAGCCTGGGTTTACTTAGGGTACGTGAATCGAGATAACGGAATGACATCCTCTGTATGTTGAACTTGCTTCATAGCACAGGCCTCGGAGCTGTGCCACAGGTCATAATC